AAAGATCAAACTATTTATAAAACCATTACTTTCAAGCATGTTTTAAAAAAACATTTTTTTCAAAATCTGAAATTGAAAACATGTTAATCACAGAAAGGATATCAAAGTCATTTGTGAAATGAACTGCATTTTTATAAAGCTATGGAGAAAACAAATATGATGGCTTTGGCAAAATAATATTTATACTATGCTGGTTCACATCATTTAACACTATTCACACACAAACACCTGCCTCATTATCAGGTCTAAATGTCAGGGGAAAAAATAACTTATTTGGATTTTCACATGAGGTTCGGTACAACTGATTATGGACCACAAAATCCACCATCATGACCACACATGCAACTGAAATCATTTCTAAAGCAAATAGTAGCATGTCTCACTCTGTGTCACTTGCATTTCCTCCACTGCACACACTGCAGTCTATTGAATCCAGCCAACCACAAAATATAGGATGACTGATACAATCAGATGAAGCTGTAATTGACAGTAAAAGTGGACACCATATATGTTTGTGTGCATGTGTAAGAAAGGGTCCTGATGGGGAATACAGTCAGGCACGTAAGCCAAAGCAGAATCACAGTGGATAGCATTAAACAGCTACTCCATTATTATTCACACAAACACAGTTAACAGCACTGATTACCCCAGTAAATTCAGTTATGAACATGGGGCCTGTTTTTGGCATTAGCGTAGTAATGGAAATCACCCAACTACATAATCAACCACTCAGCGCCTATATGTACATACAAGCATGTTACGATATTAACATGCATGGAGGCGATGGAGTGTACCTTGACCTCTTCATATAGTTCATAATGAGATCCCTCGGGAGCCAGTTTACAGCTTTACACAGTCCGTTCAAATTTCTGTCTGGCTCCTGAACAAAGCCCAGTCCACTCTCTGCTTTAATTAGAAGAAGATAACTCTAACATCTGAATTTCATTAACAAAGCTGCCAATCACTTCAGCTCAACTGAGTAAAACGACACATAGGCTCTATAGCCAACTCTTTTTTCTCTGGTGACGGGTTATTTTCTGAGGGATTTCTCTTTAGAAGCTGAAAGGGTTTGTTATTGTTGAACGATCACACAAAGGTCAAGGCAGAGACACTGCACATTATCAGGCAGATGGCACTTTCGCCGAGAATTCGTTATGTGTAAGTGGATTACATCTCTGTAGTTATGATGAATAAAAGGGTGAAAAATATCAAAGTATGCTCTAACTCACATATGCCCATTTTTGCACAAATTTTAGCCTCATTAGCAGTGTAATCGAAATCAAATATCACTATTATTATTGTTCCATAATTTTGAACAATAAAAAAATATATTAGAGATGCTGGACTAGACATAAAATCTTTTTGGATGATTTGAGCAAAAATATATAATAAAAATAGTGAAATATGTACACTACCATTTAAAAGTTTTTTTTTTTTAAGAAATTGACATTTTAGGAGTAAACGTTGAAATGATTACATTTTGGCATAATTTAACCTTGTTTAATTCTAAGTCAAATATCACTATTACTATTGCTCACAATTTTTACAATGAATAAATAAATTAGAGAATATTAATATTAGAGCTGAAGTAGCCTGAAAACCATTTTCTAAATGATTTGATTTTAAAAAAAGCACTATTTGTGATCAAATGTATTAGTGATTTGCAAAATAAGCTCTACTGTTCAAACGTTTGGGGTAGGATTTTTTTAAAGAATTAAAACTTTTATTTTAGTTAAGTCTATTATAATGTTACATAAGATTACTATTTCAAATAAATGCAGTTCAGTATTACAGTTTCTATATTTTTGATCAAATAAATACAGCCTTGATGAGAATAAGAGTCTTCTTTCAAAAACTGTATCTAGATCATAACATTTTCACCATTTAACTAGACTGGAACTGTAGCTGCATGACTTTTTTGACCAAGTAACCACCCAAAACACACAACATGCTAAACACTTTAGCATGCCATCTGCACCAAAACACCCTAGCATGGTGATGGTGGCTTTTGCTCTTATATTTTCTTCATTGTGCCTATATAGCGCCACAGATAAATCCCTTTTCTCACAAAATTTCATTTCTCATATTGAAGCAAACAGACAACAGAATTAATTGTGTACTATATGATGCATGGCCCAGTTGCTCAAGTGGACTTTAAGTAATTAAGCATCCTCTAACCAAATGCAGAGGCTTTGCTATTTTATGCCTAAATGAATTACCAATACCATTCATGGAACATTTATTTGCAATCAGACCAGCCGAGTGAGACAATGGACAACATCAATTATAATATTAGCCAACAGTGACCAGCAATATCCAGAGTCTGTTTGTAATGGCCAGCGGCTGGCCCGAGATTTATAGCACCATATTCTTTAAACTTGTTCATTGTGTCAAACAACAGATTGCCTCAGCAGAAGATCTGTAAGATTAATCACACTAGTTGATCACTGTCCAGAGGTTGTTTGATGTTTGTGTGTCATCTCTAAGTCTGGCTAAATTGAAGTGGTTTATTTATGCTGTAATGGTCAGCTGCTTGTTAGGATGCTGCAAATTGGAATTTCCATTTTAATGAAAGGACTTGGAGGAGCATATCTCAGTGCTGTTAGTTTGTTTTCAACCTTAAGTACCAGTTTTAGATATTAATACACTTCAGACACTCAAAGACACTATTAAATTGGGCCTACGCAGACTACTGTCTTTATCTAAATTTTGCTAGCCAAAAACACTCTCCAAATGACAATAATCTCGTGTTTCCAATTTACCACTTGACAGAAAATGGACAAATGGTTCAGAAGTTAAATTGTTGCCTGCTTCTGCTTTCACTGTCAAATGTCATGCATATGAGAGTTATTCTCATGAACATGTTGCTTTTCGGTCATAAAAAAAGATGTAAAATAGTCCAAATATAAGGCATCATTTTATAACCTAACAGTTTATGAAATAATATTAAAGTTTATTGAACGTTTAAAAATATATATTTGAAATTGAAACTATTCACCCCCCCCCCAAAGAAGTCTGTAAAAAAGCTGAACAACATCAGTAAATAATCAAATAAATCATTTTAAAGGAACGATTTTTCATTATTTATTTATTGATTGATTTTTTGTTATCACAGTTATGTGATAAAAACAGTTATTTTTGAAGTACAAAATATTGTGGAAAAGTATGAAGGTTAAAGTTCAGCAAAAGAAAAGTCTGTTCAAATGTGGGTATTGTGTCTTTCCATCAAATAAAATAGTTTAATGTTTCACTGTATTGATTTTATTCTGAATAGAATGTATTTATTTTATTCAAAATACTTTGAGAAGTTACCGACACCATTTTCGTGGAAATAAAATACAGAACAAAAGTTCCCATTCAGTCAGTCACGTTCAACGTTACGTCAGTGACTGACGAATTGGGATCTCGCCCGAGAGCCCAATCACCTTCGAGTGTTAACTAAACAAGCCAATGACAGTTGGCGTGCGTGTTTCGCCACGCGCACCCCGCCCCGCAGCGCGGGTATAAAAGGAGAGCGCGTGCAAACGCACATCAGCTTTTCGCTTCGGAGCCGAGCCTTCTACAGGACGAATCTCCGCGAGTGTTCGAGAAACAGCTGGCGTTGGTGTGACGGCGTATCAGCGGGGGTTGCCATTCAGGCTGCTGAAATCTCGGCGGGCTGCAGCTTTCATTCTGCGGTCTCGCCGCGACCTCCCCTGGGCGCTGTTCTTTGTTAGTAATCATGCTACTAAATACTTAATATCAGTTTTTATGGGAGAAAACTGAACTGAATTCAAAACTTTTTGTAAGTCGATTTTGTGTGTCGAATGATACAAAAATTAAAATTTAAACTCAAACTGTGTAGATTTACCACTAAAATGAACTGAAAGTAAATCTATATCACACTAAAAAAAAGTGCAATGTGCATTAACGCATATATTCTTCTCTAAAAAAATGCTAAATGATGCTCATCAGATTGTGATGCTGAGGTGACATTAAGGAACGTGTTCTCACACGAGGAGAGAATGGCCTGTAATTTACCTGCATCTCCAAATGCTCCCAATTAAATTCTAAAACAGCAGGATCCTTGTACACACCACTGTGCCACTGCTCTTCTGAACCAATGCAGGCAGCTGAAGAACCAGGTGTGTGTGTGTGTGTGTGTGTGTTACACCCCAGGATGTCCAAGTAATAGGCTCATAAATCTACTCATGCATAAAGCAAAGCAGATCTCGCCGCCATCGGACCTTCCATGCCTACACCTGCCGTCCTGAACACAGAAGCCAGTCGCCCTCGAGAGGCTCGGTCTGTGGAGTGGTTCATTCAGGCCTGTTTTCGATGAAATCATAATTTTGCTCATACAAATATCCACATGCACAAGCACTTAATCTCTCACAGCTTTGCATTACTGTTCGAGAATTAAATTCATATGAAAAATATTTTTTTATTTAAAAAAATCATATTATTCTTGAAGTTCTCATAATAAGAAATTAGTAAAAACATGAAAACTTAACGCAAAACAAAAACCTCATTACCATAGTGCAATTTTTTTTTCCAAATTACTGTAATGCAAAGAAATCTAATTCTCAGTACTATTATGCAGAGAAACATATTATTCTCATTGCATTACAAAAAATGTATTTACAATACTATACTGCAATTTTGCCATCGCTGTAATGCAAAAAGTCTAATTCTCATTACTGTAATGCAAAATATTTATCATATATTGTATTTAAATTGTATATATATATATATGTGTGTGTGTGTGTGTATTATATATTTTATTTATATGTATTTAAATTGTAAATTATTTATTATTTACCAACATTTTTTACATTACTATGTCCACTATTACATTATGATTTGACAAAAATAGGAATCAAAGAAAAAACATTCGGATTTATTAAAGTAATGAAAACATAATGTGGAAAATGCATGATTATATATGAGCTTGGAATATTCATAAAGGAACTTGGCAAGCTTAAAACACCAAATTTCTAGGAGCAATTTATGCAGTTTATGTATTACGTATTAAGATCACTCCACACCATGCCGTTCTTCCATGGTTATGTTGCATTGAGGAATTATTGGAAGATGGTGGTGATGATGATGACGACGACCATGGTGACGATGACCATGTCCATGTTGATGATGTCCATGTTGATGATGTCCATGGGGATGGTGACCATGGCTGCCATAAGGAAGAAGAGAGTGATGATGGTGGTGGCGGCTGTGGTGATGGTTCCTGCTGTGATGATGACCACCATGCTCATGACGTCTGTGTCCATGATGTGAATGCAGAATCACCTTTGATTCAACAATCGCTCGTTCATTCTGAGTAAGGTATGCACATATGGAGTTATAGAAGACATCCAGATCTATGAAGACAACCGCTATGCCACCAAAGCCTTTCTAGAGCACCTGGAAATGAATAAATGCAGCATCATTTCTTGTGCTTATCTTCTGACTATCCATCTAGTAGTTTACATTTCTACATTATGTTACTGCTTTACAAATACACTTCACTTATCTCTGCGACAAGACTTTACTCATCTGAAAGACTTGTTAAAGTAATGAACCATTCTTGTCCACTTTTAATGGCCTGACACGCCTGGAAGGATAAGCGTTTCAGATGATTAAACAATTTCGCTTAAACTCTCCCTGAGGAAGCTAATAATTAATGCTAAGCAAATACCATCTGCAGTTATAACCTACCTGATCGTCCAGGTATAAGCCCAAAACGTGGATGTGGATCCTTCTTTCCTGTCTCTGTATTCATGTCATCATGCTTGAGGTGATCCCTATGGTGATGCCTTCGTCGTGACCGGCGTAGAAAAGCAGGTATAGCTAGACTGAGCTTTCGTAGATCAACTTGCTGGTCCTGCCAGTGAAATATTAGGTAAACCCAGTTAGAATGCTAACATGCTAACAGATGAATGTGATTTACCCAAATATGACAGGTCTACATCCTTGCTGGTTCTGGAATAACATTCAAATGAAGATCTCAAGAATTATAGATGCAACAAAAGTTTTACAGACCAATAATTTTTCCTTTTTGGAAGTAATTTTAGTGGTAGAAATGGTGTTAGGTCTATTAGTTGTTTTTCCTGGACCATAAAAAGAATGTGGATCCAGGAATATGATCTACTAGAATTAATCACCTTATGTGGGCTGCATTTTTGTAGGCCAAAACCCGGAAATGAGTTAGCATTTTACCATTTAGCATCGTCCTGAAGTCAATGGGTTTTTTAAATAAGGTCTGTGGTGAACAAAAACTCAAGACATTTTTATTCTGCTACTTAAAATACATCACCCCACTTTAACATTTCTTTACAGCTTTTACTTGACTTTAAAAAGGCGGTCGCTAACAAGTTGCTAAATGGGACTAGAGGCTGTCGGTACATTAAACATCACATCAAACAGGTAAACTCAATTTACTAGTCTGCTTTTATAGCCTTGTTGTGTTGTGCTCTTGGTAATTTTACTATATCGAACTTTAAGAGGAAATGTTTTTAAATAAAGACTAAAAGAGTTGTTGGAAGCTTAATGGTGGTGTAGTTCCTTTATAGTCTACATTTAACTTTTTACTTCCGTTGATTGCATTTAGGCTGCCAAATTTATCAAATTTCTGTTCATTTCTGAAGATTATAATAATGAACAAAGCGTGTAAGAATCATAAACTTTTGTTGGTCACAGAGCTTATTTTCTGCAATAATCCAGAAGCCAATGGAATAATCCTATTGCATCTTTGTCGCGTGGACCAGGGTAATGCTTGCTAACATCAAAAAATGTGTCATTCTTGAGGCACTCAATGAATTTTAAAGCCAACAAATAAATGCCTGTCTTAACAAATTATAAGAAATGTGAGCAATTTACAATATATGGTTCATCCTTTTTGAGCTGAGCAGGCAGAATGGAGATGAAGTCCACATACCTTTTGAAAGGTAAGAAACTAAGTACATAAAATAACCGAGCACAGCAAGTGCAAATATGAATAGTGCGAAGGAACGAGACTCACTGTGAAAGTGTTCGCTCATCATAAGTGACCGCACTGTGGTCAACAGGCCCTAGTACAGACACTGACAGAAGTAGAGGCTGTGTTTCTTTTTTAAATGCTCCTTTTAGTCTCTACAGACAAAACGGAAGCTTATAATTAAAACACAATTTGTTGTTATTAAAGCGAAACTCAATTAAAAGTGTTTTGCCTGAAAACAATAGTAGAAAATTTGTGAGTAGCTCTGTGCTTCTGCTAGATTCGTCAGAAATATAGGGCCATCCAGCCAAGTCACGTCTAGACCATCTAAACTCTTGTCCTTTAAGTATGTCAATACCGTTTGAACAAAATTCTCAATGCTGGCCTCATTAGTAGACATCAGCTCCAACCTAAATAACGAATTCTCCCCCGGGGTAAACAGAACAGAACCAACATAAATGTATTGCAGATATCGTTAAAGTTCAATAAATTTATGTACACATTTTAGAATTAGTCTGATTCAAAGGATAATCAGAAGGCTGAATCCTGACTGACAAAGGAGGAGCTGGGGATGGAGGAGGGTAATTAGCGATTGAGCAATGCGAAAACTGCTGATTATACTGAGGGACTTTATATATGAATGCTTAGATAGGTGTCGTATTCCTATAGTTATATGGGGATCAGCTGATGCGAGCTTGACTAACGTGACCTGCCAGAACAACGCTACGCTTGATTTTTGTGCTTTTGCGACTTTGGGGGCCCCTAGTTAAGTGAGCGTAATTCACTGTCGTAAATAAAGAAGAGACGTATGTGGTGAGTGTGGGAAAGAAAAAGAAGCCATTCATCTTATTAGTTATTAGAGGTCAGTGTATCATCAGAATCATTTTGAAACTGATAGTTCAAGGTAAAAAAAACTTACAGCAGCAGATTCATGTTGAAATGATATTGAAATATTATTGAACTGCTACCCCCTGCTGGTGAGAAATTCAAACATAATACTACAAACTGCATCAAACTTCAGATCAGTGTGTACATCAAGAAAGACAACTCTTTAAAGAGAAAAGATGAGGAAAAACACAGGAATTGTGGGATAGATTAAAACAGCACTACTTTAATCCCCTTTAAATGTCCCAATGTAACACATACTTTAAGCTGCAGGTAGTATAACTGTAATCAGTGCCGAATCTGCATACAGCTGGTTAAAAGCAATATGGTACAAAACTGCTTTACATACATGCTATAGAGTGAAATATTGTAGATAAAAGTTCAACATTTTGAAGGTGACCCCTTATTCTCATTTAAACAAATAATACATTTAACATTTCTATGCAATCTAGTGCAAAGTAATCTGTTTTTGTTACTTTTTGGCTCCTAAAAATGAATGGTTTTCCAAAAAACTTAATGAAAAAATGATTTACTCACCCTCGTTATAATTTCTCTCTCTCTCTTATGGGACACAAAAGAGAAGTTAATTTAATAATGAATAAAATTTTAGTCTGTTTTTCATACAAAGCTATTGTATAGTTGTATGGTCTACTTTTTTACTGTATAAAAAAATGGGATTAAATGACACGACAGTGAATAAATGACAGAATTTTGGGATAACTATTCTTTTAACATCTGCAAATTTTCACAAATCAGACCCAAGCAGCCATACTTAACATCTGCTCAACACACAGAGATGGAGCACTCATCTTTTAAATGAACAAAGCATATGAATTTTACAACATAAACACATATTTGTTCTGTCTGGCAGAATTGATGAAAAATGTGGTGAATCCAGCTTTCCAGGTTTTAACTTAATACAATTTAGTGATAATATCATGTCACTAAAAACAAAGAGTGGCAAAGAGAGGAACTGCATAATAATAATGCATCAATGGTAACGTTCGGAACTGAATTCTACTGCCAAATATTTACTGTGCATATAAAGGTAGTATGCAAAACAGAATGGATTATGCACCAATAAACTTAGAATGCTACATTGTCACATTTCAGTGAGTAATAATGTCTATAGTTATTTTGGATGTCTTGACTTTTAGTAGTAATGAGTCAACATGTTAAAAAGGCTAACATTTCATTACATCATGTTGAAGTCATATGCACTTCATTGTGAGATATAGTTTCCTGTGCATACATTTTGGGAGAACTGTTCATATGTATCAGTACACTACACAGAAAATGGTTATTTTAAATTGTAATAATATTTCACAATATTACTGTTTTTACTCTATTTTTGACTAAATAAATGCAGCCTTGGTTAGCATAAGATACTTCTTTCATAAACATAAAAAAAAAATACCTTAACTTTTAAATGCTAGTGTACATACTGCAGAAATTCTAGTATGGTAGTATGCAGTTCCGGACACAGTCGATCATAAATATAACTCAGTATAAACAACATTTAAAAAGAAATAACATATGGCAAAAAATAAAGAACACTATCTATGTCTGAAAACAATAGTAATATTAAATCGAAGACAATTCCACCAATGCTGGCTGAAAACCCTTGATACAGCTGTGAAAATCCTTCATTATACACTCATTCAACACTCAGAGAAAATAAAATGTGCAAAAATTGTACCTTGTCACTACAGCAGTCCCTTAAAAATGAGACTTCTGGACCATATTCACCCAAAAGGGTTTATAGAGGTACCCTAGAAATCCATATAATCACTCTCAGGTACTAATATGCACCCTTATAAAGGGGTAGAGAAGGTCTACTGGCCCAGTGACAAACTGTTGCACCCCTAAATGTACAATTTTTGTGCTTTTTTTTCTGACAGTGAAGGAAAGCCTTCATTTCACATATGACATTTGAGCGCGACACTGCCCTGAGTAAAGTAACATCTACCTGTGACCAAATCCTAGTGTATCAACTGCTATCGAAAACACTTGACATACCTTTATCCAATATCAATATAAAACCCTCTATTAACTCAAAATGACAGGAAAGAGGCAGATCACAGACGTTCACTGACTTCTTACTCCAGGGATCTGAGGGAAGGAGGGGCTGAGATTTGAGTCTTTTCTGTGAAAGCAAGGAGGCTGTAAGACGGTATTAAAAAGGAGATCCATCCATCCATCTCCACATTGGCAGGTGAAGCCACCGAGTGGCAACTACAAATCTATTAGAGATGAAGGAGCCAATCAAAAGTCACTGAGGATGCTGATGTCAGCAAACTCCTGATGGTAACGGTAGGAGTACATGCCCAGCAAAAAGGCCCATTTAAGAGTCATGAAGCTCCACACAGCTGACAGATAGAAGCTCTTGGGGTCAGTTATTGCTGAAGACAAAAACATACAGAATGCATTACAGACAGCACACTATCCACTTTAAACATGCATATTATAAAGATTTTGTGTGTGTGTGTGGGGGGGGGGATATTTTATTAGACAAAGCTGTCCATGTGAAGGTACTTACATTGCTTTTCTATAATAGCCAAAGCTATGAATGTGGCAAAAGCAGCAACAGCCAGGAGGGAGAAGACGGAACTAACAAACATGAAGAACTTGAGTCCCTTCAGCCATGTGCGCCAGTAGTCCTGAATGTACATAATGTGGGTGACCAGTGCCCAGAGTGCCAGAACTCCTGGAGATTTAAACCCATAACATACACACATCCATACATTGAAAGAATAATTGGTGTACACTGTAAAAAATATATATATAATAATAATAAATAATGAATGAATGAAAGAAAGAAATAGAAAATGTACTGGTAATTTTCTGACATTATCCAATACTTTTATGGACATTTCCGTTAACCCTAAAACACAATGCAATTAAGTGCCAAATTCAAAATACAGGTAAAACACCTGTAAAATAATAAGTTTGGAAAATTCCCTAATATTAATACAGTACATTGCGCTATATTTTTACAGATTTCCAAGTAACACTTTGAGTTAAAAGTAAAACTTTTAAGTAGAAAAACTGAAAAGTATTTTCTTACTCCAATAATTCATTTAAAACTTTGAAAAATCTTGTGTTAAAAAAAAAAAAATCACACAACACAAACACAAACACATTTTTCTTTCTTTCTCTGGGGAGAAATAGTCAGAAATCTGCATATTTATGGGTGATGATTTCCAAAGTCATTTTAAGAAGATAACAGGCTGATCCTTATAAGAAAAAAATTTAATAATCGCCAATTATATCTCTATTGGGATAGCAAACCACACACTGCACCAGACTATATTACACACAATGTGACATCCGGAGATCTTCCCGACCGCAAGATCACCCATCCGTTGTTAATAACAACGAATTAAAAAGCATGACAGTAAAAGAAACAGGATGTGAAATATCTATATTTGACAGCGGATGTCTGAAGACAATGAGTCTGTGGCCTTGAGTTTATTTACAGACCTGATAATCCGCCCATCGCCGCCGTCCATGGCTGTTTATAAACCACATTCCACACGATAAACGCCGAAAATCCCACCAACATGCCGAACGTGGCATAACCCACACTGATGTAGATCCTGTATGGACCCATTAATCATGTATAAAGTACTGCAGTAAAGCTGTAACAAGAGGCTGAAGCGAAGGATTACACCATCGATGCGAGATTATGTAATGCAGCGCTACTTATTCGTAAACACGACTGCACGACCCGGAAGAGCTCCCCGGTATCACCATAGCAACCATCAACAACCTCACAGTCGAGGACGTTTGAATAGTTGAACAAAACGTTTTATTACTATATGGATATGTAAAAAAAATGCATTTAAATCAACTAAATAATAACATTTTTATGCTATCAATTTAGATTTGTATTTAAAATGATATGTTTAAACTCGCAAAACACGTGTGTACTTTAAATATTGTAAAAAAAATAATAATAAAAGGTTCTCATTTCATAGAATGACTCATAATTACTGCAGTGCTCATCGTGTCAACAATGGCTAATCACAATGTGCTCAAAAAATAATTATGCATTAAATGTGCGTTCACTGCTGGGAATTTCATTATGTACGCATGCTAATTAAACACTCATATTTACTGTAAATAATTACAGTATAAATTGGGCATAAAGTGTGACTGAAGCTTGCAAAAATCAATGGTAATACATCAGATGTGAAATAGGAATGCATCCAAAACAAGGTTTTTTTGATTGTCCATACTTATGTATGAATAAATAAACCAGCCTAAACAAACAAATAGCAATAATCTAAAACAGAGGAAAGCTGTGTAGAAAAATCTAGAGGCTACACACATAATGTCACATGTTTCTCTTGTTGTTTGCACAGCACTGAAGATGGTGGTTTTAATCCGTTTGATCTCTGCTCAGTGGTTTTCCATCTAACTGTGAAACTCATTCTCACTGCACTACAGTAATTGTGAAACAAAAAAACTAAATACTAATAATAATCTTCTCAATTGCAAATGTAGGTTGTCTACATAACGCGAGTGATCATCGTCATTGATTATGCAGATCATGCATAAAATTCCATTACAGAATAGAAGAAATGCTACACCCTGAATTAATCATTCAACATCATTCCTTGCAACCTATTCCCTTTATCGTCCTTCAAGCATATGAATACACGAGGAACAAAATGCCATGCCTTTGGGTACTATGTATGAAATACAATTACATAAAATACAATTAATTAGTGATTATTTATTTATGATCACAAAATGTGATCATGTAAAATGTGTAAAGTGTGCAATAGTAATGAGTTAACTGTGCAGGTAGACATCATGATGTTATCACCGTATAAACAGCACAAAGGAAAAAAACATCCAAATGGTATCCATTTAAAATGATCAAAATTTTGATCTCAAGCAGTGTTGATTAAGCATGAGCACACATCTTTGGCCAGACAGATGCTAATGCACAATAAAAGTCCAGAGAGGACTGAACCAAATCAAGAGGCCACAGATGTACTTTGGCCCCATTTCCACTGTTAAAAACTGAAAGGCACACCTTCATAAGTCAACCTTCATGAAATGAACACAAAGCCACATTTTGTGTCACCAATCAGAGAGCAGCAGGAAGCCGGTAACTCGCATGGCTTCAGCGATTCAAATGAGATCAACACTCAGTGGTTTCCTCTGTATGCTTCACAGACAACACTGAGAGACATTAAGAGATCGAGCGAGAGATAAAGAGAAAGAAAAAGTCATTCAGAGATTGATACTTCGCAAGACAGACGAACATTTGGTGCTCGCCTTGAAGACAAGAAAGACAAGACTGTCCCTGGCACTGAAGAAAACTATTTGGGGAAACAAAATTCGACAGTCAGTCAACATCATGGATAATTCAAGCAGCTATAATTATCAGTCATTATCATTTAAATTGTATTATGACCTTCCGTTTACTTAATAGGACAATAGAGTATTTGAGGTGTACAATAAATTATTCCACTGCCATATATTTTAGAGGTAACTAAGTATAAGGCTCTGCAAAACAATTCTTCCAGCTGTTAACTATAGGTTAACTGACTGGGTATTAATAGACTATTGTCCTCTCAATCTGTGTGAGTTGATCCTAATCTAAAATATTTAATGCTGTCAATATAGCAAGTTCATATCTGAAAAGGCATCCACATCTTTTCATTTACACTGCACAAAGACACATTTTGACCGTCTAAAACATCTAAAGTGTCTCTTGCTATCTGATCTGAGTTAAACCTGTGCTTCTCTATCTGATACAAATTACACGTTCAAGTGCCTTGTGAGTATCACATGCAGGAGAACTGGATTTCTGAGTTCTGTCATTGGCACCGCTTTTTGCCATAGGCAACCACTGACACACACACACACACACACACACACACAGGAATACACTTTCATATATGCAGACAAGCAGTCAGGCACAAAGCAAATGGAGAGATTGTGGATCTTCTTACTTTCATTTACATCGGCCATAGGGTTTATATCATTAGCTGCTGTGGAGTGCGACGTACATGGAGGATATACACGCCAGAATGCTTTCGTTCTTTAAACAGATCTTGTCTGCTAAGAAGAAAAACAGACTCGGTAAGACAAAACTAATACTGTTCTGTGGAAGTGAATGCCTGTTTTGCGAGTTTTAGACCTCATGACCAGGGTTGTGAAAGTTTGTGAACATCAAATCACATAGCGTTGTATTCTCTGTTGTTTCTGTGAGCACACAAATGCATGCAGGAATACTAGTGTGCATGGCACTTTCTAGAAACAGGGTACAAAATAAGGCCTGAAAAGCCTTTCAGTCTTTCAAATAAACTGAAAGACTGAATGCTGATCATCAAGCTTAGAAGGTAAACTAATTTAATATAAGCTGTTTTATGTTTTCGTAGTTATTCACTTTATATAATGGTTTGACATTTTAACTATCCTTTTACCAAAATTTCAGGACATTTAAATCCCTGACTTGACCTGATTTTGTCATTTTTATTTAATATTTTACAAAATGCATCAATGACAACAAATCAAGTAAATGAATAGTTTGGGGTTTATTTATATTTCCTGTAAATTAAAAAAAAAAAGTTTAATAATGTATTTTATATTCTTGTCTTCTGGTCATGCTGTAGAATGTCTAAATAAGGTTATTTCCTTTTTCTTAACGGGGAAAATAAAGTTAGGGAGAAAAATACGGGACAAATTTGACTAAATATTACATTTTCCCCCGGTTTCACAGACCAGGCTTAAGCCTAGTCCCAGACTAAAATGTAAATCTGAGCCGTTTTAACTGAAATAAACTTGCACTGACTCTTTTCATTTACACTGCACAAAGACACATTTTGACCGTCTAAAACATCTAAAGTGTCTCTTGCTATCTGATCTGAGTTAAACCTGTGCTTCTCTATCTGATACAAATTACACGTTCAAGTGCCTTGTGAGTATCACATGCAGGAGAACTGGATTTCTGAGTTCTGTCATTGGCACCGCTTTTTGCCATAGGCAACCACTGACACACACACACACACACACACACACAGGAATACACTTTCATATATGCAGACAAGCAGTCAGGCACAAAGCAAATGGAGAGATTGTGGATCTTCTTACTTTCATTTACATCGGCCATAGGGTTTATATCATTAGCTGCTGTGGAGTGCGACGTACATGGAGGATATACACGCCAGAATGCTTTCGTTCTTTAAACAGATCTTGTCTGCTAAGAAGAAAAACAGACTCGGTAAGACAAAACTAATACTGTTCTGTGGAAGTGAATGCCTGTTTTGCGAGTTTTAGACCTCATGACCAGGGTTGTGAAAGTTTGTGAACATCAAATCACATAGCGTTGTATTCTCTGTTGTTTCTGTGAGCACACAAATGCATGCAGGAATACTAGTGTGCATGGCACTTTCTAGAAACAGGGTACAAAATAAGGCCTGAAAAGCCTTTCAGTCTTTCAAATAAACTGAAAGACTTATGGCCCCCCCCCCCCAAAAAAAGAAAAGATAAAATAGTCAGTGAAAGGAGGCACTTAAGCTTCAGAAAATGCTGATCATCAAGCTTAGAAGGTAAACTAATTTAATATAAGCTGTTTTATGATTTCGTAGGTATTCACTTTATATAATGGTTTGACATTTTAACTATCCTTTTACCAAAATTCAGGACATTTAAATCCCTGACTTTACCTGATTTTGTCATTTTTATTTAATATTTTACAAAATGCATCAATGACAACAAATCAAGTAAATGAATAGTTTGGGGTTTATTTATATTTCCTGTAAATTAAAAAAAAAAAAAGTGTAATAATGTATTTTATATTCTTGTCTTCTGGTCATGCTGTAGAATGTCTAAATAAGGTTATTTCCTTTTTCTTAACGGGGAAAATAAAGTTAGGGAGAAAAATACGGGACAAATTTGACTAAATATTACATTTTCCCCCGGTTTCACAGACCAGGCTTAAGCCTAGTCCCAGACTAAAATGTAAATCTGAGCCGTTTTAACTGAAATAAACTTGCACTGACTGATCTTAAAATATATCACTGCCTTGTTTTGTCTCAAGACACACACCAGTAATGTTATTTTCTAAGGCATGTTTATAAAAATTACTTAAATATCCGAATTGAACTATGGCCTAATCCTGGCTTAGTCTAAGCCCTGTCTGTGAAACCAGGCCAATGTATATGTTTTTACTACTTTGACTACAAATAATGTCAAAATTATATTTTTGTATGCCAAAAAATGTCAAGAAGACCTCTGATGTGTGCAGGCCAAATATATATATATATAAAAAAAAAAGATCCCATGTAAGGATTGCAGGCATTGCTTCTAACAAGCTATTTTTCATGCTAGGTTTATTTCAAGGGATTTGACCCTCAAAATCTTTTCAGTCATGGGTGCCATATACTTGCATCTCACGCAGCTGCAGGCACAGCTTTGTCATGCTCATGTTGAATCACCAACTGCTTTCGCTTCAGCAGTCATTTCTGTTTTGGCCAGAGATGCTGGTTTTGTGGGTCTGTTACTGCAGTGCTGACAGACATAATAAACCCAGGACAACAGTTGAGAAATATTTGTGGGGCCCTTATGGAGGAAGGCAGGTGAACAGAGCCAAAACACTGAAACACTTCCAAAGAATGTGCAAATTCAAGGAATCTTTGCAGCCACCCAATTACAGCATTATACACATAATCATTAATAACTCACAGTC